AAATGCTTATTATTTTATATTTATTAAAAATGTTATTATTAAATTTATTAAAAAATGCTTTTTGTTTATATTAATTAAAAATTATTATTTTATATTTATTAAAAATGGAATTATTTTATATTTATTAAAAATGCTTATTATTTATATTTATTAAAATGAACACTTTTGATTTTTAAAAAAAATGCTTATTATTTTATTTTATTAAAAAAAAAACGCTTATTATTTTACATTTATTAAAAAATGCTTATTATTTTATATTTATTAAAAAATGCTTTATTATATTTATTAAAAAAATGCTTTTTAATTTATTTTCCAAATTTATTTTATTTTTATTTATTAAAAAATGCTTATTATTTTTTTTTGTCATTTTATTAAAAAATGCTTATTATTTTATATTTATTAAAAATATGTTTTATTTTATATTTATTAAAAAATGCTTATTATTTTATTTATTAAAAAAATGCTTATTATTTTATATTTATTAAAAAAATGCTGATTATTTTATATTTATTAAAAAATGCTTATTATTTTATATTTATTAAAAAATGCTTTTTTAATTTATATTTATTAAAAAATGTAACATTATTTTAGATTTTTTTAAAAAAATGCTTATTATTTTATATTTATTAAAAAAAATGCTTATTATTTTATATTTATTAAAAAATGCTTTTAATTTATATTTATTAAAAAATGCTTATTTTTTTTTATTTATTAAAAAAAAATTTATTTTTTATTTATTAAAAAAAATGCTTATTATTTTACATTTATTAAAAAATGCTTATTATTTTTATATTTATTAAAATGCTTTTACTTATATTTATTAAAAAATATTTTTAATTTATATTAATTAAAAAATGCTTATTATTTTATATTTATTAAAAAAATGCTTATTATTTTATATTTAAAAAAAATGTTATTATTTTATATTTATTAAAAATGCTTTTTTTTATATTTATTAAAAAATGAATTATTTTATATTTATTAAAAATTTTATTACTCTATATTTATTAAAAAATGTTTTTTTAATTTATATTAATTAAAAAATGCTTATTATTTTATATTTATTAAAAATGCTTATTTTTTTATATTTATTAAAAAAAATTATTATTTTTATTTATTAAAAAATGTTTTTAATTTATATTTATTAAAAAAAAAGCTTATTATTTTATATTTATTAAAAAAAAATTATTTTATTTTATTAAAAAAAAAAAACAAAAAATGGTTATTTTACATTTATTAAAAAATGCTTATTATTTTATATTTATTAAAAAATGCTTTTAGGACTATATTTATTAAAAAATGCTTTTTAATTTATATTATTAAAAAAATGCTTATTATTTTATATTTATTAAAAATGAACTTATTATTTTATATTTATTAAAAAATGCTTAAATTTTATATTTATTAAAAAAATGAATTAATTTATATTTATTAAAAATGCTTTATTATTTTTTATATTTATTTAAAAAAAATGCTTATTATTTTATATTTATTAAAAACATGCTTATTATTTTATATTTATTAAAAAATGCTTATTACTGCAGCCCCTGATATTTATTAAAAATGCTTTTTAATTTATATTATTAAAAAAATGCTTATTATTTTATATTTATTAAAAAATGCTTATTATTTTATATTTATTAAAAAATGTATTATTTTATATTTATATTAAAAATGCTTTTTTAATTTATATTTATTAAAAAATGCTTATTATTTTTATATTTATTAAAAAATGCTTATTATTTATATTTATTAAAAAAATGCTTCTTATTTTACATTTATTAAAAAAATGAAAATTATTTTATATTTATTAAAAAAATGCTTATTATATATTTATTAAAAAATGCTTTTTAATTTATATTAATTAAAAAATGCTTATTATTTTATATTTATTAAAAAAATGCTTATTATTTTATATTTATTAAAAAATGCTTATTATTTTATATTTATTAAAAAATGCTTATTATTTATATTTATTAAAAAAATGCTTATTATTTTATATTTATTAAAAATTTTTGCTTTTTTAATTTATATTTATTAAAAAAAATTATTTTATATTTATTAAAAAATGTACTTATTACTCTATATTTATTAAAAATGCTTTTTAATTTATATTAATTAAAAAAATGCTTATTATTTTATATTTATTAAAAAAATGCTTATTATTTTATATTTATTAAAAAATGTTATTATTTTTCTATTTATTAAAAATGCTTTTTAATTTATATTTATTAAAAAATGCTTATTATTTTATATTTATTAAAAAAAAATGAACTTATTATTTTATATTTATTAAAAAATGCTTATTATTTTACATTTATTAAAAATGCTTATTATTTTATATTTATTAAAAAATGCTTATTATTTTATATTTATTAAAAAAAATGCTTATTATTTTATATTTATTATTAAAATGCTTTTTAATTTATATTTATTAAAAAATGCTTATTATTTTATATTTATTAAAAATGCTTATTACTCTATATTTATTAAAAAATGCTTTTTAATTTATATTAATTAAAAAATAATTATTATTTTATATTTATTAAAAAAAAATGCTTATTATTTTATATTTATTAAAAAATGCTTATTATTTTATATTTATTAAAAAATGCTTTTTTTAATTTATATTTATTAAAAATGCTTATTATTTTATATTTATTAAAAAAAATGCTTATTATTTTATATTTATTAAAAAAAATTACTTATTATTTTACATTTATTAAAAAAATGCTTATTATTTTATATTTATTAAAAAATGTGTATTATTTTATATTTATTAAAAAATGCTTATTATTTTATATTTATTAAAAAATGCTTTTTAATTTATATTTATTAAAAAATGCTTATTATTTTATATTTATTAAAAATGATTATTATATTTATTAAAAAATGCTTTTTAATTTATATTAATTAAAAAAATGCTTATTATTTTATATTTATTAAAAAATGCTTATTATTTTATATTTATTAAAAAAATGCTTATTATTTTATATTTATTAAAAATGCTTTTTTAATTTATATTTATTAAAAAATGCTTATTATTTTATATTTATTAAAAAAATGCTTATTATTTTATATTTATTAAAAAAATGACGGATACATTTATTAAAAAATGCTTATTATTTTATATTTATTAAAAAATGCTTATTATTTTATATTTAAAAAAAAATGCTTATTATTTTATATTTATTAAAAAATGCTTTTTAATTTATATTTATTAAAAAAATGCTTATTTTTTATTAAATATTATTTGCTCTGTTTTGTTTTGAGCAATTTTTAAAAAAAATAGTGGTTTTTGTTATCGGAATTTTATTCCATTTATACCATCGGTGTTTGTATATTTTTTTTATACTAAAACAATTTTATGTTATGGTTTTTGTTGTAGGTTCCTTGTATGTATGCGTTATTGTGATATATGCAGGACTGAATGATGGTGGACGAGTTTTTGTGGTGGACTTGCACATTGTAATGAATGAATGGGTCATGAATCTGCTTAGCTAGCTATAACATAGTTAGTGTCGACCAGACTCAATCCAACCCCGCTTTTAGACATTGTGTCGCAAGTGATGTATTTTCATCAATAAGTCTTGAATATCTAAGGTGGTTAACTGCTATATTCATAGGTTGGAGCAGTCCATTGTCGCAGTTGTATGGAAGAGCAGGAAATGCGAAACTCTATAACAGTATCCACTAACGATAACATTTAAATCTGTCGGATTAAGAAATAGTGAACTACTTTAGAATTTCCTTTGTTTATTTTTGAATACGAAACTAAGTTCAGCAGAGCAGATAAGGAATGAATGAGGGATAGATATGACCTGTCATAGGAAATTATAAGTGTGTATATATATATATATATATATATATATATATCTGGAAAATATCTGGAAAAACAAAACAAAAATCCTTAAAATGCGATTATGTTGTTTTAATATGAATGAAATGTCGACGTCTGACGTTTCGGTTTAATATCCTTCTTCAGGACAATGTTCATTAAAAATACAATTAACATAATCTACTGACGAAAACAATGGACATAAAAACAAGTCTTATCCAAAACAGATAAATGAAAATTTTAAATGATCAGCTTTCCGTTTGAGCGTATATTGTCGTCAAATGGGCGACGCTTTCAAAACGTATTCTTAAAAATTTTTATAAATTTGATTCCGATGGAAAGATTTTTCATATATACAGTTCGTTATTTTCTGTTCTTGTTTGTTTTGTTGTTCTTTATAGTTTTGTTTTTCAGATATTTTCTTCATTCTGTCGGAATATATCCCTTTATATTTGTTATCATATATATATATATATATATATATATATATATATATATATATATATATATGTAATATATATTTAGTAAAAAAAAAAAACGGAATTAAATATGTCTATATATATATATATATATATATATATATATATATATATATATATATATATATATATATATAAAAAGTCCTATTGATTTTTTTTTACAAAAATATTGAAAGTTGATATATAAATTCAAAGGATAAGCGATCTAAAATCCGAAAAGAAGCTTTGAAAGCTCTTTGAATTTAGCAGTAAGTACTGTCAAGAATCCGTTCAGTATAATGTTCTGGGGATGCTTTTCTTTTCATGAAACTGTTTTTTAAAACCTATTGAAAAGACCCCCAGAAGCGAGCAGTTTTGTCTGCTCCCTTCTGCTGAAAGGGTGCAAATCGACCCCACCAACCTCATTTTTATGCAAGATAATGCTTCCTGTCTGTCACAAATCAAAATTGATGAAGGAATACTTTGATGAGAAGCAGGTGAGTGTTACGACATAGCCGCCCCAATCTCCTGACTTGAACCCCATAGAAAACTTATAGGGTATTATAAAGTACAGGCTCTCGAGAGAGCAGTTGAGCAACATGCTCCATACCCAGGATGAACTATATTTAAGAGAATTTAAAAAAAGAAAAACAAAAAAAATGGACAGGAAATTGGGGAGAGCCATGATCGTCAGCATCCTGAACGGACACGAGGCATAGAAAACGAAGATAGATAGATAGATAGATAGATAGATAGATAGATAGATAGATAATGTTTTTATGCGTGTAGACAAAGGAATTCTTACTTCCACGTCGACACCACACGGTTCTTGAAAATGAATGCGATGGTCGAAAGTACCTGAAGAATGCAATGACAAAATAGGAACATGGAACATTTTATTCACAACTTCGAGCACAATACTGAACAAGTCATCGGAACATTGGAAAAATATTATAAAAAATTAAACAGACCTTCTCGGTTCTTTTTAATCAAACGTGTTTGGACATATAACACTTAGAAATAATATAAAGAAATACACTAGCTCAACTGACCCGAATAAAAAAAATCAAATTATCTACTGAAATTTAAATCAGCTAACCTCAAACATATCAACACGCCAGCAAAGTCAAAATTACAACGAACGAACATTAACTATGAGTTCAAATGACCCTTAAGGAACTGTGTTCCTGATCAAAGCGAATTCATAAATAATTGCATTGGTCACACTACTACATGCCTATCCAGACGACTTACGTTACATCTATCCGGCCAGAGCTCTATTAGAACCCATTTAAACACACACAGAAACTTACTAGACACTATCCGAAACATACAAGTAGAAAATACAATCATTATAACATCATCCATATGTAAAAAAAAAATAAAAAATAAAAATAATGGAAGACTTAATAATATAAAAAGAAAAAGCCAACACTTAATATTATTAACTACGAACACGGCCACAATATGGTAACCGTGTTCGGAAAATAAAATATCTCTATAACATTAAAAACATACACTCAACGCACACACCCAATTAAATTAAAAAAAATAAGAAAACCATCCTTGATAATGGCCAAATGTATAGCCGAAAGCGCTCGGGATTATAGAAGATTTGGTCAGTTTCTATTCCAAAAAAGAAAACATTTGTTCGAACACAAGAAAAATTAAATAAAAAGCTTAATCGTAGTACCATGTCTATCGTTTTTTAATGAAAAGGACATATATATATATATATATATATATATATATATATATATATATATATATATATATATATATATATAAATAAATATAAATTGTACAATGATTCAGCCGTTCAAAGAAATTTGATGCTTACAATGGAAAAATTTCCAAAATAAACGCTAACCACACGAATCTTCTCACTTACCGCCTACTTTTTCCCCGATTTCCTTTCTTCTCACATATTTTTGTCATTTACACGAAAATTGCTTTGCATTATCTCCCTTTGCTTCGCTCTTTGGATTGTTTTATTTTTTTTATCTTGTTCTCGTGTCGAACGTCAATGCTATTGCAGGCGCGTCTATCTACGACATCTCTTTTCGAGTGTCTCGTTTGTATCTTTTATTCCTCGGTGGATCTTGTTGCATGTCGCACCGAAGAGAAAGACACGGAAATCGCCCCCCGGTACTAATCAATACACTTAGGTAGAAGTTATTCAAGGAGTAATTGTGTTTATTCTGACTTTTTTTTTCTTGTGGAGGGTCGGTGTGCAAATGTCGGCATCGCTTTCTACCTGGCTGCATACAGGGATATGTAGGAATGGGTTGGAAAAGATCAGAAATATCGATAAGGAACATGTCGAGATAGAAAGGCAGATACATAGACAGATATAAACACAATGAACTAGTGTTTGCGAATGTATATGTGGGTTTGCAGGAGATAGATGTGAATAAATAGTGAATTAGATAGATATAGATAGATGAATGAATAATAGATATATAATGAATAGATAAGATAGATAGATAGATGATAGATAGATAGATGAATAGATGATATATAGATATGATAGATAGATAGTGAAAGATAATTATAGATAGACATACAGATAGATATGAACAAATAGATATAGATAGATAGAAAATAGATATTCCATTTAGCAAATAGATAGATAGATGAATGAATAGATGATATAGATGATATACATATATGGATATATATGTATGGCTGATACTGAATGGATAGATAGATGGATAGATGAATATTAGATGGATGGATGGATGGATATGATGAATGGATGAATGGATGAATATATGGATAGATAGATAGATGGATGGATATTTATATGGATGGATGGATGAATAGATGGATAGATGGATGTACAGAGCTGAGATGGATGGATGGATGGATACATGATGGATGGATGGATAGATAGATGGATAGATGGATGGATGGATGGGATATAGATGGATGGATGGATGGATGGATGGATGAATGGATGGATGGATGGATGGATGGATGGATGATGGATATGGATGGATGGATGTGGAATCTGGATGGATGGATAGATAACTAGATGGATATACATATGGACAAATGGATGGATGATAGATAGATATAAATGGATATGGAATAAATAGATGGATACAGATAGATAGATAGATAGATATGAGATGTTTCTGGATAGATAGATAGATATTCACATGAATATACATACATACATACATGGATATTGAATTACATGATAGATGAATGGATATAGACAGACAGAGATGCAGATGGGTATGAAAAATAGATAAAGATAGATAGATAGATAATAGATAGATGAATGAATAATGAATAGATAGATTTTATAGATGATATGAATACATATAATACATATTATGTACATAATAGATATAATAGATAGAATGAATGGATGAATGAAATCAGATAGATAGACAGATAGAGAGGCAGATAGGTATGAAAAATAGATGAATAGATAGATTTTATTTCTGATAGATAATAGATAGATAGATAGATAGATAGATAATGAATAGATGAATGTATATTTATATATACATGAATACATAATAGATACATTTATGATATATAGATGATTGAAATAGATAGCTAGCTAGACAGACATAGATGAATGGGTAGATAATTAGATAGATGAATAGATGATAGAATGATAGATGAATGGATAGATTCCTATATTCTATATAGATAGATATAGATGAATAGATAGATAGATAGATATATAGATATTTAGATAGATAATAGATATATAGATGAAGATAGATAATGAATAGATAGATAGATAGATAATCAGATAGATACCTATGATAGATATGATATTTATGAAAATTATCTAGATTTGATAGATAGATAGATAGATATATAGATAGATAGATAGATAGATAGATATATATATGATATATACATTTATACATTCATACAAATACATATATAAGAACAGATGAAAAAAGATAGGATTTAGATTTTTGAGATTTTCATAGATTAAATATTAGATGATAGATAATAATAGATAGATAGATAGATAGATAGAATAGATGAATGATATAATAATAGATAGATATGAATATAATATAAAATAAATAGATAAGATAGATAAATAAATTAATTTAGATAGATATTTATTTCTTTGGATAGATAGATAGATGAATGGATGGATGATAAATATGAATGAATAGATAGATAATAATATATGAATCTCGATTTTTTAGATGTGATAAATAAAAATAGATGAGATTAGATAATAGATAGATAATAGATAGATAGATAGATAGATAGATATTTAGATAGATTCATACATATCATACATAAATACATAATATATAACATACATACATAAGAACAGATAGAAATGGAATTTTTTAATAGACAGACAGAGAGGATAGATAGGTATGAAAAATTAATAGATAGATAGATAGATAGATGAATGGATAGATAGATAATAGATAGATAGATGCATTTATACATATATATGGATATATATATATACATACATAGATAGATATAACAGATGAAATAGATAACTATGAATACAGATGAGATAAATTAGATAGATATGAAAATTTCATAGATAGATAGATAGATAGATAGATAGATAGATAGATGCATAGATATTAGATAGATAGATAATACATGAATACATACATACATTCATAGATACATATATAAGAAAATAGATAAAACAGATAGATGAATGAGACAGATAGATTTTTTCGATAGGTATGAAAAAATTAGATAGATAGATGAATATAGATATATGATAGATAGATAATGAATTCTAGATTATGAATAGATATGATTAGATTGAATGAATAGATAGATAATATATACACAGATTGAATTCATAGATAGATGAATAGATAAATAGATAGATAGATGAGATAGATAGATAGAATTTGAATAGACAGATAGATTTTCAGATAATGAATGAAAAGATTAGATAGATAGATAGATAGATAGATAGATAGATAGATAGATATGATAGATAGATGAATACATACATACATACATACATACATACATACATTTTCTACATAAGAACAGATGAAAAAATGAATATAGCTAGACAGACAGAGAGAGATAGGTTTCTTGAAATTAGATAGATAGATAGATAGATATCTAATTTCAGATAAGATAGATAGATAGATATGAAAAATGGTTAGATAGATACATACATTCATACATACATACATTATTACATACATATCAATCAATTCGAATTATTGCTTGAAATAGCTAGAAGACAGAAAGGCAGATATTCTATGAAAAATTAGATAGATAGATAGATAGATAGATAGATTTTTCTAGATAGATAGATAGATAATATAGATAGATAGATAGATACATATTCATAATATACATACATACATACATATATATATATAAGAACAGGTTTAAAAGCTAGATAGATAGACAGATAGATAGATAGATATGCATCTGAAATTATAGATAGATAGATCAGATAGATAGATAGATAGATAGATGAAAGAATAGATGAATACATGCATACATACATACATACATACATACATACAAAACATAGATGAAAAAAAAAACTAGCTAGATATTCAGAATCAGATGAGATAGGCAGAATAGATAGATAGAAAGATATATTCATCTTTCAGGATTAGATAAATGAATTCTTAGATAGATAGATAGATAGATAGATAGATAGATAGATAGATAAATAAATATTTAGATAGATGCATACATTCATATATTTTAAACATACATACATACATACATACATATAATAATAGATAGATTTATTTTAAAAAGATAGATATAGATATCATATATATAGATAAGAGATCCGACATTTTTATGTACATTAAACATATGAAAAAAAATAGATAGACAAATATATTCCGGTATATTATATTCTTGGATGAACAATAGATAGATGAGTTAAATAGAATAGATAGATAGATGGATAGATTGATAAATATATACATACATACATACATACATACATAAGAACAGAGTGAAACAGCTAGCTAGCTAGACAGACAGAGAGGCAGATAGGTATGAAAAATTAGATAGATAGATAGATAGATAATACAATAGATAGATAGATAGATAGATTTATAGATATATAGATGTATATATATATACATACATACATTTTACATACATTTAACAGAGTTCTTCTTTAGTAGCTAGACAGACAGAGAGGCAGATAGGTATCAAAAAATAGATAGAATTATAGATGAATAGATATCGATAGATTCGAATGGATAGATGAATGAATTTTAGATAGATTTCATATTTCATACATTTTTAAATACATACATACATACATATGTATAGAACATTTTCTGTGATAGATATGATATATAATAAATATTCCTCTTTCAGATTAGATAGATAGCATGATAATCCATAAATGAAAAATTAGATAGATATAGATAACATATAGATAAACAGATTTTTATAGATAGATAGATATATTTTAGATAGATGCATAGATGATATACATATTATACATACATACATACATACATACATACATACATAAGAACAGATATATGAAAAAATTATAGATAGACAGATAGATAGATAGATAGGTATGAAAAATTAGATAGATAGATAGATAGATAGATAGATGAATGAATGAATAGATAGATAGATGGATGTTATACATACATACATACATACATACATACATACATATTAAGAACATAGTTCAAAAATGATAGATAGAATAGACAGATAGAGAGGCATATGGGTATGAAAAATTAGATATTTATAGATAAATGATAGATAGATAGATAGATATAGATACATAATGAATACATAATATAGATAGATAGATGAATAGATAGATAGATAGATAGATAAAAATATTTGGATAATGATATAGATATGATAATAAGATGTAGACAAATGAAAATTTAGATAGATAGATAGATAGATAAATAGATAGATAAATGAATAATATAGTTTGTGAAAAATTAGATAGATAGATGATGTTGTTTAGATAGATAGATAATGATAGATAGATAGATATGAATAGATGGATAATACATACATGGTACATACAAAACATACATAATAAGAACAGATATGAAACAGCAGAAAGATAGATAGATAGATAGATAGAT